TGGTAATACTGTGTGGGAACAGGGGTTGGGCAGGAGCGGTGATAAGATGGAAAGTGGCCTTTCCCTGGTTAGGTTACACCGCTCATTAGATCACAACAAAATACCTAGCTCCCACATTAAATGAAAGTTAGTTAGTTTTTCAAAAATCTTCTACTCAACTGCTGTCTTAATTGCCAAAACTCTTACATGTCTACACTTCCATTAAGCTCCCTGGCAACTGCATCCTATTGTAACTGCAATTATCTAAAGTTCACACAGTTATTAACATGTTTTACAGCACCAGAAAGACAACAGCTGACTGTCAAGGGTTGAGCAGTCATAGGGTATGGCTGCGGATACAATTGGTAGGATGAATAATAAAGTATTCATACAAAAGTTGTGTATGCACTATTTTGGATACTTGTGAGATTTCATTTTAGATGAGGGGATGAAAACTGACTTATTTTTTGCAAAAGAAGTTGAATGAAATAAAATTGCACTGAGGACAAGTTAAAAAAAACCCATACAGGATGGCTTGCAGCCGTGGATCTGGGAAATAATAAGCAATGATCACATGAATACACATATTAAACCTTTATTTTATTTGCTTATTGACTCAGCAAGTGCTCAGCCATGATTTTTTTTTTCAATACAACCTTGCGATGCAATTATTCATGTATAACTCAGCCTTCCTCACTAGTTACAGCAAGATCCAGATTACTAGAGTGAACAGCTGCTTCTCATTGCTAATGGCCTTGCACCTTGCAAGCAAATGTGGGGGCCTTGCTGGTCACCTCTTTCCAAAGCACACGGAAGCCTGCTGACATGTAACACTGCCATCAGCAAAGGCACCTGACTGATTTAAATACTAACAATTTCATGAGTGCTTAATGCTCTGGCCAGTGCTTTCCACAGAATTAGTGGGCATGTCACCAACAGAGAAGTCCAGCCTATTTTCGGACACTACTGAAAATTATCTTTAAAAGCAGTAGATGTTATAGGCAGTAAAGATGGCCCAACAGTTTTTTTGGAGGCACCACTAAATTACAAAAGGAAAAAAAAATGTTTTGGTTATAAGCCTCATGGAATAGAGCCTTCTAGTCCCTATTCTGTAAAAAATTAGGGTCTCTTCTGTCCAACTGCAACAGAGCAGAGGCACAGTAATTCTGGAACAAGAAAGAAAATAACTTTCTGTTTCTGAGAAGTGTCAAAAAGTAACACAATCTTTCCCCATTTTATTCCATGTTCAGGGCAAGGACGTTGCCAATAGGATTATTATTACAGCCTCAGGAGGCACTGAGCCACATGAACATTAGAAACTCCGACACAGGTCACCTCTGTGCTGCTGTTTCGGAGCCAGGGTATCCGCAGGCATCCTAATGGGATGAATTACAGCACTTCACAAGACGGGAAGACTCTGCCATCAGTAGTGAGAGGTGCAAGGCATCAGCGGGAGGGCCTCTGGCACAGGGACTGTCCTCCTCTTAAGAGGCTGCATAGCAAGACCATGTGCTGCAGGAACACGCATTTGCTGGCCTTTGCCAGCAAGACTGCGAAGAGGCTGAAACTCCTTTAACTGTCCAGTTTCTCCCTCCCAAGATACTAATGTCTATGTAATAATTAAAAAAAAAAAAAATCCCCAATTTTTTGAGAAATTCTTTATTACAATTATTGCTGTTAGTTTAAATGATGATGAACAGATCTGCCTTTGATAATACAGAAATCCAGAACCCAGCTGACACCAGTATCGACAGTGAAAATACTGGTCTACTAAGTAGCATCAGACAGGAAAGAAACAAAGCATTTCCCAGCTGTCTTTGGATAAAGGCTGGCATGCCATATAACGCTTGATTGCAATGTGTTACATCGAGCTTTTAAGTACTAATCAGAAACTACACTGCACAGACCTCTTCTGCATGTGTCCAACCCCCTCACACTACCCGACTTCTCTACTGGAGGAGAAAAAACACCACCACCAAAAAATTCAAGTGGAGTGTTTTGCCTTCATGAATCCAAGCAGCTCTAACCTTCCTGGCAATTTGGCATTACCTGAAATCAGTGGGGTTTGTCCCTGTTAAAATGGCACAGTATGAAAGACAGAAAATAGTGATATGCAAAAATAGTTCATTTTATCCCAGACCAAGAATCATCAAATAAAAGTGTATCAACAGACATAGTAGGATAGCAATCTTAAGAATGAGAAACATGAGAGTACCACTGAAACAGGCATTTGTAAAAACAGGGACATCCCCATTTATTCAGGCACAGGCTCTTTGAATTTCTATAAACGTCCAATGCTATTAAAAAAACTCCAAACTTCTAGAAAAGGCAAACACTGTTACTCCTTGAATAGAAAAGGAAACGAGACATAGATAAAGAGTGGAAATAATTTCCAAGACTTACTACAAAACCCCATGAGAACAGTGGCCAAATATCAAACAAAAGTAGGCTGTTCTGTATCTTAACAAAACGGTATTTTAATTTACGATTTCCTTTTTGCGAGAAAATTTAAAGAATTCAGAAACAGTGACAGGAATATAGAGTCTTTTTGAAGTCAAGGCTGACCTGACTGTTCAGAGAAGAGAAATGCTTTGACCACCGAAGATCAGAAATCCTGTTGTAGTTTGTGTCATAACAGACTTAAAAGATAGATTTAAAACCAGGTACTTCACCTGGTAATAAGCACAGCAACACAGCTGAAGAGAAACTAAGAGAAGCTGCAAAAGAAATGGGAACCACAAACCTCCCTGCTAGCAAACGATGCATACAAAGAGAAAGACTGTGCAGCAAATAGAGATAAGACTGGTAATAGGCGTGGTATTATAGGAAACTTTATTGCATCATCATGTACAAATCTTAGTAATGTAATAATGATGGCACCTGCAATTCTCATCTTTTTTAAATGAACACGGACACTGCTTGCAACTCTTAATTAGTAAGATTTAGTAGCTGATGAGGCTGTTTTGTTATAAATTCAACCGCCAGCATTCATTCACTTAAGCGCACATGGTACTTCTCTCGGGTCTTCTGGGCCCTGGTTCTAGCAATTTAAATGTCAAATTTCCTACGTATTTGGTTGATGAAGTTAAGCCCTCAAGAACAGGGGATGCATGTGTACTCTCCTAGATGGGAATCTAAACTGATTTTTTTTTTTTTCAGTAGAACAGATAAGGCACAATGTATACATTAGGATTATCTTAAAAAAAACCAAACCAAAAAAACCCACACAAACCCACCAAAATATTTGTTCCAGTATTTTATTACATAAAAAATTGATTGTCCATTGAAAATTTGTCACATAGTGCAACCACATCTCATGTAGTATCATTGACAAAGTGTTTTTTCTGAGGACAGCTGGGTTAAAAATATAATGGCAAATTAGAAAACTTACTTACGGCACTAGAACAGAGAAACCACTAAGCTGAGTGGAGAAATACAGCAGACGTTTAGCTGTCAGGAAAGCAGATGATTTTCTGCATACCTCTGTTTAGTACTGAAAAAATAAGGAAATAATAAGAGCTGTAATCACCACTCTACTTGTTGAAATTAGTTTTAAAGGCTCTATCTGAATTGCCTGTATGTAGAGCCAAAAATCTGTTACTGGAAGCCTAATGAGACTCAAATTCAAAATCCAACATCTGCTGGGGTACTTATAGAACATTAATGACCTTAAGTAACTTTTTGAAGATTTTTTTTTTATATACACATACATATATAAAAAAGTTGTATTGTGTTCAGGCCTCTTACATCATTACCAAATAACATCTGCTTATGCAACGCTGTACCAGGACAAGTGCTAGGGTCTCAAAGACTTACTGGTTTTAAAAGAGAACATAAGTTGTTTTGGAGTAGAGTTATGAACTGCGATACCAAAGACTGGCTGGTGAAGAAGTTCCTGCCAGACTGCCAAGTTATAGTTACTAGCGTATTTAATTATTTTTTGAGTGTAAAGCATGAAAGAGGGAGAAGAAAAGTGGAAGACAGAAAAGCTACTTGAAGGCAGTGTTTTGTATTTTATATCAAAAGCAACCCTCAGGTCATTACTCCTATTAAAAACCTAAAAAACCTCCAAACACTTTAAAATTCAAATAAGTTATGTGGCACAAAACATGCCTGTATTTGGCACAGGCAACTTAATGACTCAACCAAACAAAACCCACAGTCAATTGGCTGGCTGAATTTCAACAAAGCTGTCCCCCCTCCTTTTAACTATAAAGCAAAAAGACCCGAGCTACTATAAATGTAGATTTATGAATGACTAAAACAAGTATCTATTCTCAAAAGCCAGGCTATAGCTACAGTGTAGTAATTGTTTCTCCTCCTTGGCTAATTTGCTTTTGTATTATTTGTATACTGTTTCACATTGCTTAATTATTTAGCTCAGGAAGAACCCAATTTGATCAAAAAAGAAATCATGTTTATGTTTTATAACATTAGGAAAACTACAGAAACTGCATTGCCATGTTTCTCATCATAATCTGAATTGTCATCTCTATACCATAGATTTAAGTTGTAAAACAAAAAAACACATTAATATTTCATATTTATAGTGTCATCTGACCTCTGTTCATCGCTTGAGATGAAAAGCAATATTCTTTAAAAAAAAGGGGAGGTACAAACCCACAACACTTGGCAAAATGATAAATTAGTTCTGGACAAGAAATGGACTGCACATCTCTCCTTAATGCAATGCGATATCCAAGTATCTACAGAGACTCTTCTCAACTCCGCTACACGTTTGGGTTAATAGCAGAATATAGAAGTAATACAGAAGTAAACCTGAAGAAACACATGATTTTCACTTTTCCACTCAGACAAACAGGCACAGACCTGTTTAATGAAGTATGGCCTGAAAGGTTTCTTTAATCCTAAATTTATACAAATATAATTAAAATTAAATAAACTGATCACCTGGAACCTTCATCAACATCATTTAGTCCTCATGTACAGAAACCAAAGACAAGTTAGTCTGTCTCCTGAATACCTAACTAAGGCATTTTACTACTCAGTGAGACAGTAAGTTTAGTGACATCTTTTATTTTAGAACAAGCACTCAGTAAGTCACAGCTTCCCACTTTTGATACTGAAGTATTCCACAAGATCAACCATTATGGTTCAGTTGGGACCTTTTATCCAAAACACTTGGATTTTAGCACCTTAAATAAAGAGTCAAAGTAACATCTTAGTAGTAACGAATGAAGACAGTTAACACTGTGCTCATCCCCTGGAAAATGATGTGGACCATACATACTAGGTGCATTTAGTCCTTAACAGATAGTAAGGCAGAAGGGAAACAATTCTAAGCAATGGATTTAACTGAATACAATCTGAATAATAACAAAACCTTCCCAGTTATACAAAGTCTTTCAAAGAGAAATCACATTTGCTCCCATACATCAAACTTCATAGCATTTAAATCAAATGTTCATTTACAATCGACCATGTCAGTCAGGAATCCGTACCCAAAAAACTCCCTTGAACCTGATCTGGTTATTAAACATTCAGTGATAGGTCTAACTCAAACTTTAACTCTGTACTGTAACTAGTGCTTTTTCAGAGATTTAAACAAAACCTTAGACCAGTAAAATGAATTCATTTCAGAGTTAAAGCTATTTCTTCTAGCTCACTGTCTACATAACGGGGCATACATAACATTCGCTTCCACAGGCACAGTTCTTTGGCAGCAATAGCAATCTGAATGGCATGAATCTGACTTTTCCTTTCACCCCTGCACTGCTCGCACAGGTGCTATAATTCATTAACATCCCATCATCACTTCTGATGGGTACAGAACCTCCTTTCTGCACTGGAGTGCATTAGCCGAGTATGTCCCTTATCTTCTTCCACCATGCTTCTAAGAACTTCTGTGGATTTCTGGGGACATACAGAATCAGTTTTGTTTATTTTATAAAGAAACAGGCAGTCTAACCAGACACATCCTAAACACCGTAATTTTAGGCATCTTTGGCCACTGTAACACTATTCTTTTCAATTTTAGGCAGTTTTGCCAACTGAGTCTAGAAAACTGGCTTCCAAGAGAATCTTTTAGCACTGTACTCTGCTATCTAACAGCATCTATGAATCAACAACCAACTTGCATACCCAAGATGGATGCGGCTACTATAGATGAACATCGGTGTATTCTAAGATTGTATTTCTTCTTTTCCACTTAAATTAAGCTTGTGATGTTAGACACACAGATTTGTATGTTTATTTTAAACAACAACAAAAGCATAAAAAATTACAAACTAAAGTAGTCAGTCGCTGGTATTAAACATTACCTTTCCTGTAACTAAACAAATGGCCCATATTAATAAGTAAACTGGTGTATTTCAACATAGAAGTCTTTCAACATCAGTAATCTCTGCTTCCTTCCTTCCCCCACCAATAAAGCCAGGAATTGTATGGAAAATTAGTTTCCCTCCAAGGAACAGCAGAGCAGCATTCAGTCTGGTTAACGTGTCTGTCATAGATCCTCTCTCTGTTTGGTTGCTCGGTTGTCCTCTTTGATGCTATTAGATTTCTTGTCTGCATCTTTTTTCTTCCTTGCTTTTTCAGGTTTTGTTTTGTTTTTCACTTTCTCATTTTCTTCTGCTCCTTTGCCAGGATAAACCTGACCTTCCAGAGTAACATCCGCACACCTTTCTTGGTTTATCAGAAAGTCTTTGATCTCCCAGGCGTAACCGCCATCACGTAACATAAAGATGGCACGATTTGAGCCAACGATAAACCTAGAGGAAAGATATGTATTTTTTCAGTTAGCTCTGTGCCCTTCAAGCACTACAACATTTTGCTTAATTCGGATCACCTCCATGACTGAAGCATACATTTAAGAGCAAGAAGCTTGTCTTGCTGTTGCCTGGCGATGGGGACAAGAGAAAAATTTTCTAGTACGTGTAAGAATAAAACTTATTAAGTTTACAAATAACCAAGGAGGAGTAAGAAAACGAAGAAAACTGAAGAATTAATTTGGCATTACGTAAAATCCACTAACGGGCATTAAATTTGCTTTATACTTTATATATATATTAAATTTGCTGCAACCCTTCTCAGCCTCAATACAAGAGCGCAACATTCCTCTGTTTCAAAATGATCCTCTCTAAGAGAAAAATCACATTTTTTAGCCAGGGGAACAAAAAGCCTTTTGTGGTGACAAGTCTTCCAAGTGCGATGTTTTCCATCAAGCACATAAAGGCAAACTACTGCAGCTAAAACTGATAAATAGCTGAAACGTAATGAGATAAAAAAGAAACTAGGCTATATATACATCACATGTAAGTGTTAAAAAGATTTGTGCACCACACCAGAATTTTTGTAGCGTGACTTAAATTGGCATATAAACTGATACAGAAACAAAGAAATAGTGACGGACGATGGAGGTGGGGAAGGGCACAGGATGAACAGTTGAAAAGATTTTAATGAAGAAAGATACAAGGGTTCTGTAAAAGCAAGAACTTTATCCTTGCATACAACAGCTTACCTTTGCACGTCATAGTTTGCATTGAAGAGACTGCCCTGCCACAAGCTAGTAATTTCTTCAGTCTCCTTTTCTGTGGGATTTCCCGACACTGTGACAAACATCATCAAAGTCTTCCCCTTTTTCGTCAGCTTCAGGATACTTTCAGGCTTGCCTGGATCAATTTTTGAGAAATCTATTGGTGCTGGAGGCCTCTTGTGTTCGGGAAGATCCCCTTCTTCAATGTCATCATCTTTCTGTTTTGAAAAGGAAAAGGAAGCTTTAAGCGCAACTGTTCCACAAAGCTGTTCTTTTTTGAAATTTCCCATTGTTTAGAGAATAACTGCTTTGCTAAAGAGAAGTATTTTTTAGTTTAATGATGGAGATTCTCAAACCAAAAGAAATAGTGAAGTTTGTTTCAGGATACTTCACCAAGAGTGCTCTTTCTATTTAAAACTTTCCACTTCAAAATGATGCACATTTTTGTACTGACAGATAGAATCTCATTTTACCATGTACTGAGAAATCTTTCAGTCTTAAGGCTAATTCAATACAACTCCACCTAAGTATTTCATAAAAGAATATGTTTTTTCTTCACAGTTTCACAGACATTTATTAAGTATACGAGATGAACTGAGAAAGTTGTACTAATAAGACTCATACACACATAAATAAAAGTGTTCATCTGCATATTGCTTTCAGAGGTCAAAACTCCCTTCTGGGAATCATGCAAACACTTGATAATTTAATTTTCCTTACTTTGTGTCTTTAAACAAATAGAACCACAAGAATTCAGAATTTCAATGCTCATGCCATAGGAAAGAAAAAAAACTTCTGATGCCTCTGCTCAGGTTGACAGGCATTTAAGTATTTGGAAAGGCAGAATTCAAACTGCTGTCCCTTAAAACAGCTCACGACAGAGAGGAGTGCATATAGCGACAACTTACATGGAGCCAGAACTTGATTTCTTAAACAGTATTTATATCATAGAATTAAAAAGTAAAAAAAAAAAGAACAGAAAAACCCAGAAGTCTTATACTGGCACCCACCCAAGCACTACTAAATCAGCAGGAATTCAGGAAGATATTTTAGGTGGTGTTTTGCCTTCAAGCATTTAGTGAAAATATGCATCACTTCATTAGGACCATGAACTGTAGCAGCATTTGCCAAGCTTGATTTTTAGATCTAAGTACGCATTACCTTCTCATCTCTGCACATACACATATGCAAACTCAACATTGTCCTCTTACAACATCCCGCTACAGGAAGCATCCCATACCGTTTAAAGGTTAAGGTTTCATTCAAGTGACCCATGTTCTCTTCCCATCTCGATTATGTAGTTTGTTGCCTTTCTGACAAGACAGTTTAAAATTTAGTTACCACAGAATAAAAGTTGTAGAAGCCTTAGATTTTATCCTTTCTTTTCTTACTAATAATGTATCTGTTTCAATTTTGCAAGTCTGAAGCATGCTTTCAAGTAGTTCACATGCCTTTGCAAATTCCATATTAAGTGAACTGGGAGCAAAGGAGAGCCCCAGGAAAGTCCCACTGCCCTCACTAAGTGGGAACAATACTTACCTTAGAGGAAGCTGAAAAATGCTCATATTGGTAAAGTACAGTGAAAATACAAAATCTTACATGACTGACTGAAAAACACTCTTCAGAGGTAAAAGCAAATCAATCCTAATTTTAGATCAGTTTGGCTAGTGCAAAACCACTTATTTCACAGTTTTGAAAGGGAAAGGCAGAAACAAATATTTCCAAATACTCCTTACACAATACAGAAATTGACTTTGGATTCAGTGACAACACGACCTACTAACATATATTACCTATTTTCCCCTTAACTATTCAACTAAATGCTCACAAAGCTGTATTGTTACAGTTTGAATAGAAATATAAGCAGCAGTCGAAAGCTCCCCTACACAACACTTCTTTTCTTGATTCTGTACAAACTATCATGCAGTTTTGTATTTATAAAGCTATCTACAAAGTAAGTGACTGGAAGAAGTGTAAGCTTTTGCTTTGAAATGTGTAGCAGATTCATTCATTTAGACATTAACATGAGGCTTCAGAGGGAAAGCATTACGTAGATACAGTAATAGCTATATATTCCTTCTCCTCCCCTCTGCTCCCATTCTCATGCATTTCTCATTAATGCCCTGGATTTTTATTTTTAAAAATATTAGCAACATATTTCACCTAATTCCTCAGCCTATTCATTGATCTTAGCTCAGAGTCAAGCCTGAGAAACCCTGAGCTTATAACAATAACGAACTAGTTTAAGAATATGACATTTCAGTAACAGAAAGACCTCCAGACCAGATTCTTAGTTCCGTTTCCAGCTCCTCTGGACTCAAGGCTGCTGGAGAGTCCCTTTCCATGAGGGGAAATCCCTAGGTGGCTTCCTTCAAGCTCTAGTTGTGCAACTGAGCTGCTGAAGCAGCCTCTCTTTTCCCCATTCCCCATGCTCATTTTCCACTAGATCACTCTCCCAGTTCACCAGGCAGTCATGCACGTGGTTGCGCCAGCACAGTGCAAGGGGCAGCACAAGAGCCTGAACAGAGAGGTGGCTGCTCCTTTTGGGAAGGCTGCTGGAGCCACAGCCTCAGCCTTGCCAGGCTTGCGGCTGAACCCAAGGATGTTATAGCCACCATCCTCCGATGCTTTTAGACTAATTGCCAGGGAAATAAAAAAATATTAGGAGTCATCTCACTCACTTGAAAGCAATGACACTTGATTCTGTACAGATCTGTGCCCTGTGCCCCTCGCTCCCGAACATTAATTCCTGCTCTTATCCAAATTCATAATGGCCCCTTTGTTTCTCATCCCACCCCATCAAGTCCACTCATGCCTTTTCTCCTCCTCTATCCTCCAGCCACCACCCCCTCGAGTCTTTCATGTTCCTTATATGTGTTCTCACTACCATCAGGCAAAATGCCATACAGCTGACCATCAGAAGCTGCCATACAGAAGACCAAAACAACCGTTAATTGTTGAGCCCCTGCTTCAGTAACTTTTTTCTTCTAGGGCTCTGGCTGTATGTGCATTTCCTCAGTGGCAATGCCAACCCAAGCAGCCAACTCCCCAGCTGCTCAGCCACATCTGCATGCAACACGGCTACAAGCATTTGTGCAGCACATGGTGAACTGGATCAGAGACCTGCTCCAGCTAAAGAGGAAGAACCCTGAACAGCCTCCTGACCCTGCCTGCCACATTGCTGGAACAGAATACACAGCCGAAGAACCACGACAGCATTAACTTGAGTCTCCCTTTCATCCAGGCATCCAATTCAAAAACTCGGAGATGCTCACCTTTTAAGATTTTTCCTACAATACCCAGTTTGGATGAAGCTGGCCAATATTATCATTTAAGCCTTGATTTTTTAGCAGCTGGGACTACCTGGTCCTTGGCTGATACCACTAACAGAAAGGTGAACTTTGAGTTTTTACATAATTTTATTTAAAATTTTAAGTCAATTTTCTAAGAATCTCCCTTACTAAAGGGAGATACACAGCAACAGTCCATGGGATGCACAAGTCCACAAACCTGCCAACCAGGTCCAAGGCAGACATCCTTACTTCTCACAGAAGTTACTTTACCTACGTTACACGTACAAAACCTACTCCTCCACCTTGACTAACAGCTGTAACTGGTGTTACAGGAGACAAAAGTTTTCACTCTATTATTTCCTCCAGTTTTTGTGCAAAACATTCTAGGGAACAGCCTCATGGGACAGAATAACACACTGATGAGCGCTTTGGCATTTATCAGAAGATGATGGAAGACAAAAATAGCGAAAAGAACTGAACAGTGGCATGACAACCACATGGAGAAAAGAGTGATGGGGAACTGTCAAAGAAAGTTAAGGCAGCGGGATGAAGGGGGACAAGAGAGAGCTGGAATTAGAAGCCGCCATTCAAACGAGGAGTGGCAACGAAGGAAACACCAAACCAAAAAACCAACTAGATAGTACTCTGTAAACGCGAACTGAGTATTTCTCCCGCTATCCGCCCTTTGGCCATAAAACATATATCCCTTTATACCCCAAAAGAGCGGCATTTACGTCAAACCTGGCTGTTGGCATGCATCGACGGCATGTGTTTGGGGCTCAGGCGCTGGGAGGAGGGAAGGGGGCGGCAGGGCGAGCTGTGGGCACCCGGGGACAGGGCAGTTCCTCAGGAGCCCCTTCCGTGCCCGCTCGCCCAGATTTTGCAACCCCCCCCCGCCCACACACACAGAGGAACCCGGAGCCTCAGAGGAAGGAACCCGCCGCCTGCCACCCTAACGCCACCAGGCTTCGGGGATCCCTCCCTCCCGCCCATTCCAGGCCAGGGCCCCAGCTAGGCCCGGGGGAAGGACGGCTGGGCCGCGGGCGCCAAACCTCCCACCTTCCCCCGGCGGAGGCGCCGCGGGGCCGGGCAGAGCGGCCGCCCGACCGCCCGGCAGGGTTGCTCCG